GCTGCATGAATATGGGGTGCAACCCAGAAACCTCGAACCAGTAAACCCAAAATCCCTCAAGCACCGGTCTTCGACAACGGGGATCCCAGTGCTCTGGGGCCTAACTCTACTGTTCACTCTACAATAACTGCGTGATCCCCGTCGTTTTTCGGAGCAGGGCGCCGCAAATGTTGCCTCGACCATCCAAAGAAGCCCTAATGCAGAAACCCGTTCTTACCGAAACGACAATGCCGAAACGGATCTACCCCCCCTTTTCGGCAACCTAGGGGGATCCAAGACGGCCGACAGAAATGTAGATTCGACCCCGGTTGCAAAACCAGCTTCTCGGCCGAACCCTTGGAATGTACATTTGGAATTGCCGTACGGCCCCCCGGAATGTACATTCTGGGGCGTGGCCCTGGTGGAAGAATCTTGATGCGGCTGTTGCATGCAAGCATTGCCCGCCTTCAACGTGGGAAGTGGCGGCAAGCCGGGCAGAGCAGGCATTCCTTCCAGGGTTGAACCCGTTCTCCGACATCCGCTTCACATCTGAAGAACGAGAGATTTCAGATTTTGGGGCCTGGGCTCTTCAATCAGAAGCCCGAAGATCTTACCTTGCAGGGCCCATATAAACGCCTATCTGACTCAAACCCTCAAACACCCCCCCCACCTCTCATATCTCTCATGAAACCACGCGTTTCGGAACCCTCGGCAAGAACCATGAAGCGGTCCTGGCAGCCCCGGCAGAGCAGGCTGGGACTCCCCGAAGGGTGCCCTGAGGTCGGAACGCGACGCACGCGACGCTGCGGTGCTGGCTTGGGGATGCTTGGGGATGGTGAGCTAAGGGCACCAACGTTGAACCTTCGAACCCCAAGCCCAACTTGTCACACTGCCAGCTAGCACGGGATACTACCACTAAAGAACAATACCTCACAGAAAGCCAAGCACTTCTCCAAACAGGCTGTTCCACCGCTCTTCTGATATCTTGAAGTCCCTGTGGGGCCGCAGTGCGAAACCGAGGCTGGGAAGCTGCGAAGCCCAAGGCGGGTGCATGGGCAGGCGTGGCGGCCCTGGCGAAGGCAGCCCGAATTGGCCTGAAGTGCTCAAGACGAAGCCTCCATCAGACTGTGCTAAAGCCAAGCCTCAAAACACACGACCTGCGCAGCACCCGCTTCCGTTGAGCATCCTACGAACAGTATTCTGGTGCACACCCGTCCCCTCCCCTCCCCCAAGAAGCACCCACAGCTCCCAAGCCAAGTCCATTGCTGTTCAGCGCATTCGTCGGTGGCGGCAGCGACATCCTGCAGTAGCAGGAAAGGGCACAGGTGTTGCGTGGGTAAAATTTCACTCCGAATGGTCGCTTGGAGAAGGGCTTGTGAGCTTTCTGCGGATTGAGATTTCGTGCTGCACTGAGCACGGAGCATGGGCGGTGGCAGAGCCAAAAGCGTCGTTCCTGTCGCAGGAATGCTTCTGCCCTGGCTTGTTGTGAAGCTACCGCAAGGAAATCTTGATGGGCCTTCTGGTCCGGGATCTTACCTTTTACGTGAATGAAGCCCTCAGAGAGTGATAGGTCAAGCTTAGGGATCCATCTTCCATGTTCATGGGCAGCTCACAGAGTAGTACTTGCCCGGTCAAGACTGCCTCCCACCACGCTGCCGGGCGCTGGGGGTAGGGCCGGCAGGTTCATGTAGCCTGGCTCGCAGACTCTCGGAGCAATACGAAGGCTCAGGGGTTTGAAAGGAAAGGTCAAGGGTTGTGTATCGCCTACCTAAGAATCCTTGTTGTACTTTGGCCGGGTGGAGGTCCGAACGCAAAAGCCTGGTCCGCACCCCAAAACACTCCGTCGGCTCCAAACCAAAAGCGGCTCGGCTTGGGATGCTGAGCTCAAGTGGATTAGCTCCCGAAAACCTTCCGAGGCTGACAGCGCGCACCGGGTGGAGGAGCCAGTGTCGACTTTTCCTCGATGTCTCGACGGACCTCAGGGTTGCGGCTCCCAATTGAGGGAACGCTGGGCTCCTGGTTCACCATGGGGAGATTCTCGAGTGAACATGTCGCGAAGGCTTTGACCCCGCCTTGGAGATCGCCTCCGTCTGGTCGAAGTTCGCGGCCTCTTCAGGTTCAGGATGCCACACATGCCGCCCGGCCCCGATCCGCCAAAAGAGGAAGAAAAATTCCCGAGAAAAAACAGAAGCTGTGAAACGAAGAGAGGCGCTCGCTGTTGGGAGCTTGCAATGAAAACGAGCTCACTCCCGTCTCTTCTGACTGGCGCAGAGTCGAGGGCACATGTCTTGGAAGCCGGGTGATGCACCGGCAACCTGCCTGGTTTCAATTAATTACCCCGCACCCCATGCACCGAAATGCCTTCTTGACGAGCCGCTTCTTGGCCTCTGCAATCTTTGCCGCTGAATGGAAGATTGCTGCTTCTGCGATTCACTACCGCGAAATGGTAGCGACATCCGTGCGGCTTCTTGAAGAGTCCTCTGCAAAGCACTGAAGAGCGAACTTCACTGGAGAGAAATCGGGAGTGACGATCAGCTTGCATCTCGCCAGGGTTGGAAGCCCAACACGGCGCTCCTTGCGACGCCAACCAAGGCCCAAGCAAACCAGAAGCCCCAAAGCTCACGCCCAGACCACCCCGAAACCCAAATTCCTAAAGTGGAGGAGGGCCGATTGGGGCCCGGTCGGGGGTAGGCCGCGTTTGGAACATGAAGGTCACCGCGCTGAAGAGCGGAAAAGCCTGGGAAGACAGCACAAGCGTTGGCAACATGCTCAAGTCGTATCTTTCTGATCCTGCGGACTTCACCATGAAACCAAACACCAGAATAAGCCACCCACGAGGAAACACGTCGGGGTTTCACACGACACAAAGGGCCGTGGAGGTTTGAGGCTTCGGCTTCCGGGGTTGCTGTCTGGGCCGGTCTCAAATTGGCTCAGGCCTGTTAGGGTCTCATCGTTGCCCCACACCGGGCGAACTGATGAAAGCAGCGTTCATGAGGTGTAAAAACACGATCAATCTACCCTTCGCTGTGAGCTCCTCCAAGCCCCAAGGCACTGCACCTTAAGCCTCTGGCCAGCAAGGCCGACAACACACCGCTGGCGATGAACCTCATGCGCTTGGCGGCGATTTGGGTTTTGCTCCGGCAATCTGACAGAGCAAGGCTTTGTAAGTTTAGTGGGGTGTGGGGGTCAACCCTGCCTGGACAGCCGTGTGCACGCATGGGCGGCAGCAGCAGCAAAAAGATTAGATGATGGGGAAATAATGATGATGGTGATGGTGATGGTGACGGTGACGGTGACGGTGACGGTGACGGTGATGGGTGATGGTGATTGGGATGGTGATGGTGGGTGTGATGGTGATGGTGACGGTGACGACGACGACAACCACGACGACGGCCACGACGACGACGACGACCAGGGAGGACGAGGCGAGGGCAAGGGCGAGGGCGAGGGCGAGAGGGCGAGAGGGCGAGA